GCAGCTTCACTATGTGTAAAAAATAAAGGAACATCTCTCATCAGCCCTAAAAAGAGGTGTAGTCCTAATTGAGTTTTTAAATGTTTTGGGGTAAAAAGTCACAATGTTGAATGAAGGAACAGGAAAATCATTCATCTCATTTGACAGATGGTAATAAGGTATAACATTCACAGAGCTTTTCACCGACTATTATGCCATTCATCGTCTCTGGCTTGGTACCCCTAGCTAGCGATTTTATTGTACTCAGGGACTTGGTACATTATCATTTTGTGTCTGCACTTTTCTCCTCAAGGCTGTACAAACCCTCTTTTTTTACTACTCCTAGCTCATTCATTTTTCATTGGGCCGGGCCTTGTTAATTAAAATGCTGAAAGGCACACTTTAGGTTGCACACACACAATTTTGTTGTTTGACCTTTTCTTTTTAGCCAATATGTGGCACTGCCTGAGTGTGACGCGTTGATGAATGGATAATGGACTATCCCAGCTGACAGGCCTCTTTGGGAAAATTAATGAGAACATAGCGAGCATGAAAAGGGGGATTGTTGAAAAGGGGAGTTTCTTTTTTATCTTTTGAGGCCTGAATTACTCTTCTGATTATGTTAATACTAGTCCTCACAACTGGTTATAGGATATAATGTATCTATTTATCATGTGGGCACTTGAAAGACTGAGTGATAAGAGAGTGGAGGAATATGAAAAAGGTAAGCAGAGGCAGGCAGGAAGAAAGACGAGCAGAGGTTGGCAGAGACAGACAGTGATAACCATCATGGGTGTCATCTGTCGTACCTTCATTAGTGCTAATGTTTGCTCTATCCTGTTTGTTCTGCTGGATGTAAGAATTAAATATGCAAATTGTGACACAAACCGGATGTTTCTGTAATGAATAATTGTCAGACACTGTCATTTATTGTACAAGTAGAATTAGGGAGCTGAATTTCAAACAGCTTGGGGCTAAAAACTGGGATTTCACCAGATCACAAACCAATTGATTGATTGATTGATTGATCTACTAATGAACTGTCACCTTTTGATTTTTTTAATCAGAGAAAGCTACAAAAAATGATATGGAAATGAATAAAATCTATTATCCAGCGCAAATTAGTTAAGCCTTCTTGACTATCTTATGAGTCATTACTGGAAAAGTGAAAATGATTCTCAAGTAGATTAACACATCTTTATAAAATGTAATAAATGCCCCTTAGCCTCAAGGATGACCACATGTGTGGTAGATAAAGACTTTCTTTGAAATGGAAATGTGTGTTCATGGCTGTGAGGTGCAATATTGGATGAGGCCCAGAGTAAAGCCAAATTGGACGCTCCTGGAGACCACTTGATGCTTAGTACCTACAGTGTCCATCTGGATACATGGACACACACACACCAAATATGTTTTGGACATTCCAGTCCAAAACATATTTGGTGTTAATGTTTAAATTACCATCAAGCCTCTTAAAATTGTGTATTTGGCTTAGTATATATTTTTTGCACTTAAAATGTAAATTCACCCCTAAATTTTGGCCTGAGGGCCTCTCTCTGGAAATTAAAAAAAATGCCTTTTGAACGCAGAGCTGGGAGGGAGAGCTAAGACACGAATAACTACCCCTCCTCCTCACACGTACAACCTACCAATGAGCTTGTCAAGCTATGATTTTAGTAGCAGCACACACACTTCGTCTTGCATAAAGTAGAGGGCTTCTCACCTCTTGATAATTAGTGTAATTTAGTTTACAGCTCTAAGAAGCCATTTAAGTGGAATAGCTCTTTAAAATCTAGTTTCTCCACACACGAACTAGGAACCAAATCGTTATTTTACCAACTTATTACCAAACCAGCACTGATTCAAGAAAGTCATTTCACTCGAAATACTGCCCCCAATGCTTGGGGCTTTTTCTTCTCAGACCTTCGATGAGCAGCTTTTCATGCGAGTCTTTAGGTTTTTTGAGTTTACATTACCAATAAGATTGAGACGGTGGTTATCTCAAGACGGAATAAAAATTACAATTTGCCTGCCACGGGGCCAAAGCTTTGATTTATGACTCTGAGTCGTGTCCTCATTATTTTCTCAATGGATTTTTTAGGGCATTTGTGGGAGAGAAGTGCCTGAAAACACGAATAATGTGAAGTGATCCTCCAATTTGTTGGTTGTTGTTTTAAATAACCTGCCTTTTTACTCATGTTGATGCCGGCTAGGAGCTCAGCCACCTGATGCAACTGATCCTCCACAGCCTGAGGATAAAGTACTTAAGTGGGGCTGCAAACAGTATTTCTCTATGGTTAGATTTGCAGATTTGGTGTTAAAACCAGGGGTGTCCAACAAGTGCTTAGAAGTTTGATAGTTCATATGGACATCTGAATATATCAAACTTTTCACATTCACTTTTTTGAAGTGTTATAATCCTACAACCAAGTATTAGCATGTTATCTCATGACAGAAGCAGGAATAAAAAAACTGCCAAAGTCTGCTGGCTGCTAGGAGTAGTATTCACAGGTTAGGACAGTACAAATACGTTATATATATATATATATTGTGGTACTTCCACAACCTTCAGGCAAATTGTGACCAAAAAAGCAAATCATTTGTCGCGTGCGACCACCAACTTTAGGAAAACACTTGAGTCCAACACAGTTTGTCCTCAAACCAGATAATTGCCTGTTCCAGAGTTCTGCATACACAGCGAGCACTGACCAAAGAGGTATGGACTGTTCCAACAGTAATGGTCATTATCTCCTCTGTATCCGTGGCTTTGTCATCCACTCATGTCATTTGCTCCAGACAGAGCTGGATGTGCTAATTGGTTCATCAAGTTTGAGTGTCAGTATTAAATTGTAGCTGCCACAGATAACGTTCTCCCAGCACTTCACTGCAGCTTCTCCGCACTGCCCTCACCATAGCAGCTTTATTTAGAGTTTAGTTCTACATTTAGAAATTAGCGGATAATTCATTTCCTTTTCATTCCTTCACTGGAACATCACAAACCACCTGACAACTCCCCCTCACAGGTGAAATTATTGGATGGTAAGAAATTGATTCACGTGAAATCTCCACTACATGGGTAGACAAGCATTAGTGGATGTGCGGCATCAATCACGCTGCTGTTTGCTCCAGCGTGTGTGCTTTTAAAGATCACCAGCGTTCCCAGGGAAGGACGCGGAGGTTTTTTTGAGTTTGCTTGCTCAGAGGCCATCTCTGGAATTTGAAAGATCACTTGTTTGTATGAGAAAGACACAAAAGGAGAGAAAAAGAAGGGGAAGAGAGCACAACTCAAGTGGGTGTGAGTTGCGAGGGTATTGATTTACGATTATGTTTCAGGGTCACCCTGATCCTCGCTGTAGATGTACATTTATATTATCAAAGTTTGATTATAATCGGGAGTATTTCTGTTTTTTAGACAAGAAAAAGGAGCAGCATGATTTGTTTTTTTTTCTTATCAGATTATTGCCTCTGCCAAGTATGTTTGTCAGCAGGATTATGCAAAAACTATTGACTGGATTTCCATGAAAAGAATGGAACATGGGCAAAAAAGAACCCTTTAGTATTAGTGTGGATGTGTTCAAATTTACTCAATTGCTTACATTTTTTTTAACATTTTCACTAATTTCCAAGGGAAGAATTCCTGGATTTTGAAGAAAGAAAATCTGGCATATTTCGGGGACTAATAAAAAGAGTGTGTACAACCAAGTGCAGCTTGACTGACATGGGAATGTTGGACCTTGGCAGAGGTATATGGTCTAATGAGTTCTATTTGTATTATCAGATTACAGTTCTGATGGTTTCAAAACCTAGGTAACTTTCTTTTGAAACATACAAGATCTTAAGTGATTTGAACAATTGATCTCAAAACATATATTGACACTAAAACACATTTTTATTCACAAAACCTTATTGTCGCTAACTTACCCATCAAAAATATTAGAGAGACAGATAATAATGTGTTTTAAAAATAACTATTAACAGGCCTTTACGTGTACGTATTTTTATTTCCCTCAATGCCAATGCCAAAAAGTCATGCTGCCAAACTGTAATTACACAACTTGTTGGATTTAAGTGAGGGTGCTGTCTGTTAAACGTGGATCATTATGAACTCCCCATCAGAAACGTCTCAAACAATAAATCAGCATCAGAATGAGGTTTACGGCACAGTCCCTCAGCCCCGTCTCATAACAGCTGCGCATAATGTCACATGGTTGACATCGTCTAATCAAGGAGGCATGTCTCATCTATCAGTGGAAGACAGGGGGTAAAAGTTGGCACACAATAATAGAATAGACACTACTATTTTCATATTGTTGTGGTGTATGTTATACTGCAACATTCAATATGCCACAAGTGTCTTTTCCAGTCAGTTAATTATTTTCTTTGGCCTTGATCAAAATTAGTTTTGATTCCACATACAGTAATTTAATCTCAAAAAGAATAATAATAAAGAAGTGAATAAATAAAATGCTTTACTAGCTGCAGAATGGAGACGTGCTGTAGCTCTGGTGTGTAATGTCTTTGATGAGGCGGTTCTGTCAGTGAAATCATAATTAAGGGAGCTGGTTGTTGCGTGCGATGGTTGGGTTTTTAAATGTATTTGCTTTTATGTGTCTCTTCCTCCACAAACACACTTGTGTATGTTTTCTATGTACGTGTGTTTGTGTGTGTGTGTGTGTGTGTGTGTGATAAATGGTTCATCTCAGGCCCGTCAGCCACCACAGCCATCTCTCACGCATTGTAAATCATCAGGGCTGAGGGGTTTAACAAAAAGAAAAGAAAAAAACATAATAAGAAACTCTCCAGTAGGGGGATTACTGATGCGTGTGTATGTACGCACACGCTTGTATTCAACTCTCTGTGTGTGCATCAGTGTGTGTGTGAGTGTGTGTGTGTGTGTGTATATATATGGGGTCTGTCTGCATCTTCCGTCTTCCTCTCCTTCTTCTTTCCCCTGGGAGGCGGTTTGGGTTTTCATGTCGTTTTTTTTCCTCCCCCCCACCCTCTCTCATTTTTTAATGTAGGACACTGCTGCCTGGTGCTTTAAGACACCGCTGCGCCTTCTGTTTTTGGAGGACTCGAGATATGATTCAAAGCCCTGACAATCGGATGCAGAGGAGAGGAACAACAACTATTTTGGGTACAACGGCCGCTCACCAAACACAGGATGTTCCGAGTGAAGATGGTACAGAGCCTCTGCTTATTGCACATTAGAGGAAAGAGTCTGGGAGGGAGGGAGAGAGGTGGGGGTGGGATGAACTAGCGCTCAAGCCGGCAGTGGAGGATACTTTTGAACAACATGATGTAAAGTGAAAGGGTCAGGCCAAACCCACTGAGAATAAACACTGCGGTCTGCGGTGGAGCTTTTGACTGCTCACAGACAGTATGGTTCTAGATTATTTCAACAAACAAGCACAGGCAAGCTGAGTGTGCACAACACGCTCTGCAACAGCAGAGACAAATACACCATAAACCCGTTTAAATCTATAACTAGTTTAAATCTCTCTGCCTACTTTTTCATATGTGATTGTAAAATGAATATCAGATCTCACTGATTTTACAATTGATCAGTTAAGAAAACAATGGTTAAATGCAAAAATAGAACCCACTCATATCAGACACAGAAGGCCCATAGTGGTATCGGAGGTCTAAAACTGCACAGGGAACCCAAGTTACACACAGGTAGCCCATATAAAAGCTTTAAGGGCTTTTTTCTTTTAGCAGTAAATATTTCACATGAACTGCCACTAACAATTTGTGGTAAATCTCCAGGAACATCCCCTGACTCAGAGGAAGTTACTACATTTACCAGCAGCACAAATGGACCTTTGAGTAAGGTCACCTAAAAGGCTGTGACTGCCTGTGGATGCACAGTTTTCTGTACTCCCCTCAGGGTGGATGCACAAGACACTGATTATTAAATATCAATCAGCACAGATCATAAACAGGTTCTGGGGGCTGGCAGCTTTGAATAATTTTGTCACAATGAGTCTGTGTCACAGCACTTCAAGGTGAGTGAGCCATAGACCCAACTGGCAGCAACATGACACCCACAAGCCAAAAAGGTCACCAGCACTGCTCTGCTGACAAGTAATCTCTAGGAGGCAAGAACAAAAATAAAAATAACACCAGATATATGAGAAAAACACACATATCTTGCAGATTAATATCTGAAGGGAGACGGTAAGGGATGAGAGGAAGACAGGAGGAAGAGGAGATTAAAAAAGAAGAAGATAGCACTGGAAAATGAGAAAATAAAGGCTGCATGATAGTGAAGGAATAAAAGGGGGATATGAGTAGAGAGATGAGGGGAAGAGGATAAATATCATACAAGGATTTAAAGGCAGTGAACCTATTACCACAGCACGTTAATAAAACCCCTCCGATGTAATTCGACTCCCAACATTGTTTCAAGTGGGAGAAAGTTATGCTTGTTATGAAACAAAGTGATTAATCTCTACAGTTAAATAATAGGAGGCTCTTTTTTAATGGTGACTAAGCATTTTGGGGTGTGAAGTATTGGTCATGGCCAGCTGGTAGATTTTAAACTACTTAGGGAATGAGCTGCTGCTACAATCAGCAAGAAACTGGATTAGCATATTAAGATTTTAAGCCTGACTTACCCCTGCTGTTTTCATCTCTGACAAAAAAAAACAAAAAAAAAAAAAAAAAAACCCACTGGTGTCACCTCCTAAAAACTCAAATGGCATTACTGATGCACTATTTTATTACATTTTTTGTCAGGTACCATAATAGATGAATTACACTAAATGCTAAAATATTGCATTTAACAACTCGTGCTCTCCTCAGGAGCAATCATAAAAAAGACCGACACCAGAGAGAGCAAAAGGTGGTTTGAAGGCCAGGGCTAATATTCCAATAAATGAGGAATAATGACTTCTTTTTGCGCCCTCGTTCTGTATCACGTTCGCCCGATGTTGTCCGCTGTTCGCGGCTCCAAGGAAACACACAGACAAGGTCCTTATCGTATGCATCATCTATGTTCATTAGTGCCACTATTAACGTCTGTGTCATCTTTCCCACTGGCTCATGAGGCTGGAACTGCTTCCAATTTGGACGTCATCTAAAAGATCCGCCTTCAGTGTAATATGACCTCCGTGACGTTTCGGCGAGAATCATGACTAATGCTTGGGAACAGAAATGGGCAGCCGCAAAAATTCCCAAATGACCTGAGCTTGTAGAGTAAATAAATCAACGAGTCCTCCAACCTGAACCAACAAATGTGTTGTTTGTTCCGCTGCTCTGATAGGACCCACAGGAGTGTCTCCTAAAATAGTGCCCCGACAGCATCTGATATACCCAACCGTCATTGTTATGTCTTAAATAAAAAACACATGGTTAAGATAATAGAACAATTACGGTTTGTTAAGTCCAAAATAAGAACTCTATTAAGGGTTAGAGTGTCTTACCAATGTGCATGAACTTCTGTCTTCTCTGGTTACACAAGTATTCATGTGTAAATATACTCGTATAACACCGCTGACAGCATATCCTGAATAGAAAAGCATCTTGAGTAGAACAGAAATGCTTGAACTGTCAAAGTCCTGATGTGCGTCTTGACTCAACATTCATTACAAATACAATTATTATTATTATTATTATTGATGTAGGCCCCACAGCCTCCAAAACACATCTGACTGATGGCAGCTAAATGCTTGCTTGACCGTTTCACAGTGTATTCAAACACTTTCACGAAATGTACCAACAATACATTTAACTCCTCTGTGAAACTCCTTTCGTCACTTAACTGTCGAAAAATATCATTACAACCCATTTACAATGATTGAATGACATGATGAAATTAATTACATACATCCAATTCACTACAATTCTGACGTTTTCCACAGATATTAAAAACTATATAAAATATTTGTGAATATACATTTGTGTATTGCTTCTGAAACTGGCTGCTTTTTGTTGTTGTGAGTCATTAAGCTCACATGAGTTGTGGTGTGGACGGATATTGTAGGTGGCAGAAAGTTGGTGCCTGAGACAACCTACTCCGCCAAATGGTTATTTTTCCAAGTTGACAAAGATGGCTTCTTTCATCCCTCTTTCAAACCATCTGAGGTTTGAGTGGCTCTCCTATGTTGTCTGTTCCCCAAAGTATTGGTCTGAGCAATTCTTGCTGACTGCAAAATCCACACTGTTCCACGGAAAGCAACACTGTCCAATGTTTTATACCTTAAAATGGCATCTTCAATTGTTGATGGTACACTGACTTGGAATAGGAAGCATGTATTCCTTTTGATTGCCCCCCAAAAAACACTCACACTGAACTCTAACTTTGGTGAGTGGGTTCAAAACTGACTGATAGCTTAAACTGCCAGAATCAGGCTGAGCAAGTTGGAAAGTACATAGTCAGAGCAACAGCTTGATAGATGTTTTACTTTTGTCTCCATAAAATCGTCACATACTGCTTGAATTATACCAAATTGACTGAAAGTGTATACAATAATATGTTGAAAAATGTTCTATTATTCAGTCAGGCTTTTACCAGCAGGTAACTGAAAGGTTGTCAGGCAGCCATTAAAGCAGCGATGGGTCATCACCCAGCATTATTGTTGCAGTAGCGCTCAGTGTAAAGCATTCAACACTGTCAGAGGTGAGAATTTTTTTTTTTAAACGTTTAATAGAAAACTTTTTACTTTTTATTCTTCAAAAACCTCTCTGCTATTTTGAAGACATTTTGGGCACATGTTTGGGCGTGAACTGAGGCCGTGGCATTTGCTGATCAAAGTGGTGACGAAAGGTTTCGAGAAGGCACATCATTTGCAAAAAAAGAAAGGGTTTTTGCTGTTATGACAGGACTGAGTCACTGGTTTTCAAATGTCAGGTTCGTTGCTCATGGGGCATGACTATTCTTATTGTAATAACATGATATTTGTTATTATTTTTAGACCTCTCCATGTGGAATTTCTTCTCAGCTCCTATATTTACCTATATGCATGCTTGTATTTCCATCAACATGACGTGCATGTGTTTCCCCACGGCTCAGAAAACGCGACAATGAATAATTCCCTTTAGGAATAAGAAACTAGCAATGCGTAGGGAAAATCGAGGCAAGTGAGAGGTGTCATGTTATTTGAGGACAGGAAGGAAGTGGCAACATGTGTGGAGGCTGAGCTTGCCTCGCCCCAGCATCAACAATGGCTGAAAAATATGGTTTTGTTATGTGTCGGAATTCTCTCAGGAAAATCACATAATGGTCTTGATTGCTTGGAAGTGTAGTGAAGAAGAAAAAAATCCCTAAATTGATAAACTGCAGTTTTTCTTGAACGATTTACCTTGAATGCCTTGTGGCTTTCTGCTCACTGGGTTTCTTTCTTCCTCCTGCCCTACTTTCGGGATTCAAATCAAACCCAAGTGTAGTTTAAATTGTTTTGAAACTATATTCAGATTCTCGAAATTCAAGAAAAGTTCATTGATTAAGCATCTCTTTGCTAAAAAGAGGATTTTCCCAAAAATGCTGATCCTAAATTGCAAAAATCAAAAGTTCATTTTCTTTCATTATCACTTTGGAGACACTTATTCACTGACTTGTCTAACTTGAATGTGACTTGCTCAGTGTTCATATAACATTAACAAATAAAAAGACTTTGGAGAGAACTCCTCAAACTGCCTGCACATTTACACACTTTCTCTCACTCCACCTCCCCATCGTCCACAGAATGTCTCGACTCATGTTGCCATGGAAACAGGAATTACCAAAAGCTCAATAATATCCGGATAGAGGCCAGAGAAAGAGAAAGATGTTGCCTTGGTACAGAAGCAGCAAGTTTGTTCTTCCTTTTCTTGCTTTGCAGTATAGGATTGTGGTTTTCATAAAAAAAGGCACAAAAGTAAATTGTTGACATCTCCAACACACTGTGGGTGATAAATCATCAACCAAATTGTCAGCACACATTATATTGTAACACCAAAAGAACTCACTAAAGGGGCTAATGATAGACTGCGTGTTGTGTTGTACACACTCTAAAGCCCTCCGAGGCAATTTTAGTGATTTTGGGCCTACATAAATAAAAGTGACTTGACATGCCTCACAAACATTTAATTCCTTACCTAAGGCTCTTATACGCTGTGCAATGTTGAGCTGTCGTGGAAGACAGTTGACAATGTTGGAGAAGAAATGGGTTGACACGAAAAAAAACAAAAAATAAGAACCACAAGAC